ACCTGCTGCTAAATAGAGGGTCCACGGAGGTGCGAAAACTAGGCGCTGAGTCGATGAACACCATAGAACCTGCAGATATAGTCAAGGATCTAGGGGTGCATATACACTCCTCCTTTAAGCCCTCAATGCAATGCGCGGCAGCCGCAGCGAAGGCCAATAGAGCCCTATTTCAACTCTGCAGAACGGTAATATCGAGGGAAGCTTCCGTAATCTTGCCATTGTATAAGGCGTTTGTGCGGCCACATCTGGAGTACTATGTCCAGGCGTGGGCCCCTCCCCCAGTAAGGGATAAACAACTACTTGAGGCAGTATAAAGAAGGTTCACCCGGATGATCAGTGGACTGCAGGGAAAGTTCTACAAAGAAAGGCTGGCGGCCCTTAACTAGAGGGGTGTTATTCACGCCCATCCATGGGCGAAAATGGTTGTGGAGCGCGTAAACAGTACGCGTAAGTGCAAGAAACGAACTTTTGAGGACTCAACCACCAAGAATGGTGGAAAGAACAGTTCATAATCACGATAACAATGTTACAATCGCTCAGTGTATGCTTGTGCACAGATGCCACGATTAAATACACAGCAGGGTAATGATCGGAACCCATATGATACCCAGCCCACGGGTAAAAGCAGTTTAGACAATGATAAGATAAATCAGTGATGAAGAATTGCGGAGAAACAGATGCCGAAAGTTTTCTTGCGCATATCGGTTGAGACACAAAAACATAAAGCAGCTACATAAGCACAATATCCTGTACAAGGTGACCCTGCACAAAGAGAAGACGGTTTCAACCGAACGCCTTGCCCGTGCGTGAACTGGATACCTACTGTGCTCGGCCTGTAAAAAGCGTGGGAAAAAGTACACTGGGATAAAAAACAAACACAACAAGTGTCGAGTGACAAGGCGATCGAAACCCGGACAAATAGGATTTTTGATCACAATATGCGGAGTTTCCTGGGGTGGGGCTTCGTAAGCCGTGCAATCATGCAGCCGGTCACTCGGCAACATGCTGCGTAACCAGCAGTCTCCACCCATAATGTTGAGCAGTAAAAACAAAACGGAAAAGCAATGATCTGGGTGAGGCAGCGGTCAAGCACAGGCTCCAATCGCGTAGAATACAGCAGTACAGGCCTGATTCACGAAAGTGCCAGGGGAACGCAAAACACGACTACGGGGAAGTTCTTTAGAACAATTTGAGGCAGTCCCCTCCGATTAGTCAACTCAAGCGCGGGAATCAAAAAGGGAGCTAGCCTGTGTTGATGCACTCAATTATGGTCCTATTGGTGTGGGAAGCCAGCAGCTGCACCAGCAACCATGCCTGGTGCTGTTTGCGGAGGGTGAGCGGCGCTGAAGTCCAAACCGGTAGCCAGCGCATGATGATCCACTTGCTAGGTTGTAATTAGATTGTAATTAATGTTAGTTGGAGGTTGGTGACTTAACAAAGCACCCGCTGGGTTGCCGGCACCGTGCATTCGATTGTTATTGTGACCGACCGCGCCGATCGAACTGCGCACATTATTGGTTCCGACACCGCTACCGCCGGGACGACTCCGGAATTGATTCGGTTCCATGTTTGGGAACGCGCCGTGTCCGGCAGCAGCGGCCGCTGCAGCCGCATTTCTGTAGTATTTATACCCGTAATATCCGTAACCATACGGATCGAATCCAGGATAAGCACCAGGGCATTCACCGTACGAGGAGAAGGGATAGGCGTACGTTTCACAGAAGTTATTCCAGTGTTTCATCACTTTTTGTCGATTGGCCTGTTCTCTTGTGAGCGCAACGCGAACGTCGCACTGACGGCCAAATATTTCTTGGCGCTCTTTAGATATGGCTTTTCGAGCAGCCGCTTCTGTTGCAAAACTCACAAATATGTAGCGCTTCCTTTTCCCCTTCAGAGTATCAAAGGCAAGTCAAGTGAGTCAACCTTCCAAAAGGCACCAAAATACTCTTTGATCTGGTCTTCTGTAACGTCAGGATCAAGACCACCAACAAAGACCTTTCTAAACGGTTCCCGCAATGGTTTAGCCTTCTCGGGATCGATTTTCTTGTTTTTCAGCCAGTGCTCTGGGACACTCAGGACCTTGTTTACACATTCCTCACTCTCAAGAGTAACAAAGCCAAAGCCCCTAGACGCACCTGTGTACCTGTCTAATTTAATTATACATTGGGTAACACGGCCCCAGCAGGAAAAATACTCCTTTTAATCGTTCTCTATATTTTCCCAGCTTAAACCTCAAACAAAAAGTTTTCGACTGTCATCGTCAGTGTCATCACATGGAACATCTCCACTACCTTTCGACGGTTTCTGTGCACAAGTTGTTGGAGAGACTACATCATCACTATTTTGCTCGGCACTCTTGTTGTCATCTGGGGCATCACCATCCTTTTCGTCGCTAACCCGTCTAGGCGACTCTACAGGTGGCATTAAAGGAGGCACAGCAAAAACCGCGAAGCTAACAGTTTAAAACAAAATCGTTCTCAGTGCATTGCCGTCACCTGAAGGGGGACTTGATTGAGACATTCAAACAGCTCAAAGGACTGTCAGTAACATATAGATCCTTGTTTACACGAAACCTCAACCCAACCCTCAGAGAGCATGCTCTGATGCTGATGAAACCACGGGCCACCGCGTGGTAAACGCATGGAACAAACTTCCACCTACAGCAATAGCAGCATCTTGTGTTCTGCAATTCAAGCGGCGAATAGACAACTGCTGAGACGAGGTGTTTCCAGAGTGTGATTAGTACAAGTCTCAACCACTACCCACATCCTCCTTTTGTATCCGTTGCCTATTTCTAACATCATCCTTTTGCATCACGCACCTCATGCACAATTAATACAAAAATTGTTTTTTCTGTCATCAGCACACGGGAAGCTCACATGGCAGGAGTAGCAGTCCGCTGAGGTGCGGCGCCTGTCAAATGATTGAGACTGCTGTTACCCCGAGGGCAATCCTGCTCTTCATCTCTTCCCTTGTAGGTACAACACCCATCACAACTGTGGAAATACCTGGCAGTCGCAGCACAGTGGGAATCACCAGCTCACAAGTGCAAGAACCTGGACGTTTACTGGCCGAAGCCTTAAGTCCTGTGACCTGACTTGACTTGACTTGAGTGGACGGTCGGTACGAAAATTATTGACAGCATTATGTGAACAGCAAGCGCCGGACAATGAATCTTTGAGTACATTTCTGGTAGAGGCCGAAAGGATACTCAACAAGCGACCGCTTGTACCCGTAACCAGCGATGACCTGCAAGGACTGGCGCTAACTCCGAGTGACATTCTGCTATTGAGGTCCAATGATGGTCTAGATATGCCAAAACCTATTAGAGGCTGCTATACCTTGGGTTGGAAACATGCGAACTACCTGGCATGGGTGTTTTGGAGGCGTTGGACAAGAGAGTACCTGCCATCCCCTTCAAGCTCGACAGAAGTAGTTGCATAGAGAACGGTCGCTGAAGGTTGGAGATGTTGTCCTTATGGCCGACGAAAAGCTACAACACGACAACTGGCCACTGGGTGTAGTCATAGAAAGCCACACGGACTCAGATAGACTAGTAAGAACAGTGAAATTGAAAACATCTGCCGGTGAAGAGGTGCGCGATATTCGACGAGTGTGTTTATTCGAGGGAGATGACCACTATGCCGTTACTTGATGGAGTTTCGGAGACCCGCCATGTATTATATTCACTTACCTGCCCCTTGTATCAATTGCACCCCAGTGATATTTACCCCACCTGTATGAACACGTGCTTCCACGTCCTTGCCACACGTCTTCTCTATTATATTTCGTGACTGAGTGTCCTTTAATCAGATTGATACACAATTTATGACATTAACCTCGAAGGTGTGACCCATGTCCTCACAATATTCATCCATTCACATACACACAATCACCTGCATCCTTAACATGATTTCATTCGTAAAACTTAAACAATAATTACATTCCCCAAATTCCCCCCTCCTTGTTTAAGCATCGAGACTTTACGTGTAATGATATTCATTTGACCCACTGCTATCAAGTTATGGTGCGACTGGCTGCAAGCGTGCTGATGCAGAAGGCAGATCTTTACGAAGGAACGTGCAAGTCGTCGGAGGTCAAGATCAACGAGCGCGGCGAAGGCTGAACAGTTCGTAGGTAGAATCACTGGCAGCAGGGATTAGGTAGGTATATAGGTAGACAAGAATCAATGGCCTGCGCCAACCCTTTCACTCAGACGAGCGCAGGAAGGATTTTGGTGGTCGGTGTTTTTCATGTTGAATGTTTGAAAATCCTTCCAAACCCATGATGATTTATGGTAAAAACTCTATGTGTGTTACTTCTCTATTGGCATTTCTCAATTACGAACACCATACATCATTATTTATCTGTTAATTCGATGCCCGGCACATTTAAATTTTGCGTGAGCGACTGTTTGGCTCTAGCTGGACATCATATTTGGCTCGCTTGCTTGAATGCTCTCGGCCGCATATTTGGGTTTGCTTTATTGTACATTTTGAAATGATTTCGCTAATTTAGTACCGTAGAACATTACGGATCAATCGTGTTTCATTTCAGGATTCGTATCGGTTTCGGCTACGCGTCACTCAAGTGTGAATTGGTTGACGTACAGTACTCAAATTGGAGTCAAATGAGAAAACTATTTCGAAGATGCCCAGACGAGGAACCAAGGAAACTGGAACCCAACAGGAAGTAACCTGGCAAGCCACGGGGGGTTGTGGATCATTTTGATTCTTTAGAAAATGTTAGGTCTGTTAGTCCTGCCAGTGCTCTTTCATGTGTAGATACAGATATTAAGGGTATTGATATATTAAGATTTGCGGGTATTTAAATTAGAGCATGAGTTGAGAATAGCTAGGCAGCAGATAGAACAGACCAAACGTGAAAAAACCGATTTCAACGGCACAACATCACCTCGAGCTGAGACTGCACACAGTGGCTTCTCTCCGAATAAAGAATTCGTCCCGAAGCAAAGAACGTATGTCCATGTAAGCGTCGATTTGCCAAGAGTCGAACAGTCTTCAGTGCAGAAGGCAAAGGCTCTCCTTGTTGGGATCATTCTGAACAAAATTTCACTTCGGAAAGGGTCAAAAAGGAGAACGTTGATTGCAGGGTATCGGATTGACGCTGCGACTAAAACCGAAAATCATGGTAGATAGTGCTTAAGTAAAATCTCAGCAGAAGCGATCGTTATCTGTTCCCCCAAAAGTGTGAGACGCTCAAAAACTACTTCGAAAACTTTGACAAAGCAGATGACGGGCGGACAATGCAGCCAGAGCAATAAAACATTTCTAGAATGCGTGACGTACAAGTCAACGTTGTTAGTGCCCTTCAGGTCCTGGAGAGGTTGAACGTCGGCAAGTCTGCCGGCAGCGCCGTGCTTCTCCCGACCGTTAACAGGCCTTTGCTACTGTGCTCGTCTCCATAAGCGCACTGTTCCAGGAGTTCCAAAGGGTTAGGAGCACGTCACTCGACACAGGTCGATTACCCCCACCCAGCACGGCTTCCTCATAAACATTCGTGTTTGGGCAACCTTCTTTTTCCTAAACGAATTTATAAGGAGTTTAGATGGAGGACAAAAAGTTGAGGTGTGCTACCTGGACTTCAGGAAGGCTTCCGATTCGGTAGATCACCAGTTCCTACTAATAAAGCCTAGGGGGTGTGGTCTTCCAGTAGTTCTACTTAGAGGGTTAGAAGCTTTCCTTACCGACCGAAAGTAGTAATAATAATAACTTTATATTTATGAAAGCCCGTAAGGTATACTAGTGAGCATGATCATATTGACAACAATCATGTAGAAAAAATGAAGGTCCGGACAGAACGTAATAATACAGAAAGGTAACGTAAAGTTCAAATAGGTACAGAACGTATCGTAAAGGTGCATTGCAGTAAAAACGAAACATAAAGCATACAAGGTCATTTAATGGAGTACTGGAGGTGAGATGGAATGGAGACCATATCAATTTTTCATTCGAAGAACACTTAGGTCACAGTACTGGAGATGGGAGTATCCACTCAGGAGATAGTGTGCGGAAAAAAGTTGAAAGAACAGGAGGAGAACGGAGCAAGTGAAAGAGTCTAATTTCAGTGCAATCAAGCCAAAAAAGTGTACCGTGATACAAAAGGGATGGCGAGTGACTTATGAAGAAATGATTTTAAGGAAGAACGCATTCTCTTTTTGAGCTAACTTTGATGTCTTACTCATGACGTTTCTTGAGGCAGCTTTTACCACAGTCGGGTTCTGATCTGAAGACCTTACGCTACGATCCATAATCCACCTATCTGGATCAAGGCTGTGAATATTTTGATTAAGCAGACCGATTACCTTGACTATATGCAAAAAGGGGAACAACCATTGCGCATAGAAACGACGTTCACACTTCATTCCCCCTGTGGGAACTACTTTATGACCCTTGCCCTTACTATCCACTACCATGGAGAACCCTCTCTCGTGGACAATTCAATCAATCGTATATGACTTCCAGTTATTTATTATTATATTTCGCGCAAATGGTGGTACTCGTATGAGCAACGGTTTCAACGAATGCATCTCGCGGGGGGTTGGCTACACATTCATGGAATCTTTAGCAAGGCGAAATCCATGCGGCATTTCTAGTGATCTTACTCGTTGTAGCACTCTCTCAAATACATCAACTAATGAAGACCGAGGAGACAAACCTGTATTCCGTCTCATTTTGGTTGGTAGTTAGGTTTCCTAAAGTCAACCTAGTCCTCACGGCATACCCTGCCTACTGGTCTCGGTATGGTAACCACGTTCGACGTAAATAAACACCTGCTTCTGTGCTTCGACTTTCTACGGCGGCTAGGAATCTACGAAACGATACCTCAACATCACAATACACCACGTTCCGCATCCATTGAAAGATGCGCTGCTTTTTGAACGTTGGCATACCAGTTAGCTGGTAAAATTTCTTCTACATATCCTGAACCAGATAGAAACGACAAAATAATAATAGCAATACTAAGAATAATTGTTACGGCCGCCCTTTAGGAACTGTCTTACACGCGTATCGTTCAACCGAACAACTTCGTGATCACGAAATTTATACGATTCTTTATCGCCAACCGCACGATCAACCGAAACGTCCAATAATGATAGAACACAACGAACACCACTCAGTAGTGAAATCACGTATAATACGGTATCTGAAAATGTACAGTGATACAATAAATTTTGTATGCATACTTGACCATGATCCTCAGTAGGCGGATCGTACGATGATAGACGAACAAGTGGAGTGTTGATGCTCAACTGAGCGAAATCAAACGAAAATCGAAACTGTTATGTTTTACAGGAATAATAATAAATGGTACAGATAAACAAGGGCCAGATTAAAGGAGAGAAGGGAGAATGCCACTGACAAATCTATCTGAGGCATCAAATGTTGTTTTCATCATCATAC